TCTTTGATACTTTTCAATAACTTTTCGTTCCTCTTCAACAATAAATGATGTTTCATTTTTTCTTTTATTTTGTTCTTCTTTAAACTCTTTTAACATTGTTTCACTTCTTTCACAAAGTTTAGATAAAATGTTTTGATTATTTTTTATTAATTCAACAATATCTTCTGTACTCATTTGAAGCATTGATTTAATTTGATCTCTTAGCTCTTTATGTGTAATGAATTTATCAAATGAACTCATACAATTCATAATTAATCTTTTGAGAACACCACAATACAATATTGTTATATCGTTTATTGTTCCTTTTGGTATTTTTTGAATAATAGTCCAAAACATTATTGGAACAAACTCTTCTGAATGCTCTTGTCTTAAAAAGAAATCTTGTTGATGGAAGTGTTGAGCAACAAATAAGAATGAGTTTTTATCAAAATGATTAAACATTAGTATATTCATACGATCCATCAATTTTATCCAAATCTTATTTTGTTCAATTGTTTGTAATTCAGGATGTTGTTCGTAAATATTTATTAACATAAAAATTGATTCAATACAAAAATTAAGTGAAATACCCATTTCAGAAACTGTTGATAAATCTATCAAATTCTCTGAAAACTGAACAAATAATTCTGACAATCGGTATATATTAATTGTTGAATGTAATGATTTTAAATGAAGAATTGTTGATTTAATAATTTCTTTTACAAACTCTTTGTTCTTTTGTATTAGTGCTGCTCCAATTATTACTCTTTGATAATTCATACCATCTCTTAATGTCGCTGCACATATATATCCAATTAATTTAACTATATCTCCACACAAACCTTTTTGTTCTTTTGTAATATTTAATGAATAAATGTATTCTTGATTTGAATTGTTCATAATAGATAATAGTGAATATAAAATATTATCCTCTTCTATAATTACCCCTCTCAACGAGTAGAATTGACGTAATACATTTGTTAAAGTCTCTACAATAAAACAAGAATTATATATTTTTATTGATTGCATTTCTGATAGTAAGGAATGATGGACCATTTTAAATAAAACATATAAATATAACCAATGAAATTGTTTTTTATCTAGAATTGTTGAAGTAATGATTTGAGATTCATTTGGTGATGATTTAAGTAATAAAGAAAATAAAGATTTAATAGATTCTTTTGAGAGAATTAATAACCTAACTATTTGTAATAATTGGTTTATTCCTGAATAAAGTTCAGAACAAAAGATTGGAGATAAAAATGAAAGATTTGCAGCAAGATGAAGTAATGGTGGTAAAACTGATTCTGGTGGATTTGAGACATTAATAAATTGATAGATAAAATTAGAAGATAATCCTGGGAGAATTCCTTTTACAGAAACAATTTGGTCTAGTAATGTTAGAAGTTGTGAACACCTAAATGAACAAAATGATAGATGAGTGCCTGAATCAGTTTTATCAAAAACTTGAAGAAAATAACAAGCAAATGACATGACCGTAGAAACTTCTTCTTTACTACAATTTATAGAAAGAATACAAGTAAGTAAATCAGTGACATAAGGAAAAACAGATATTTCAGTACTTTCATCAATGAAAAGATACATTAATTTACTCATTAGCCCACCTCCTCTTAAAGATTCTGATGCAGAGATTGGTGAAAAATCATATACTGACTTTAATATCCTTAGTATATATTCAATTCCATTTGGACAAGACCTAGCTATTTTAAAATCTAAAGCTAGTGTTGTCAATATCTCAGGATGAGTCACACTAAAATCTTCATAACTTGTTCCAATTCCTGATAATGCTAATAATACTTGTAAAACTCCTTGTGATATGAGGCTATGTTTTGAATATAATATTAGAACAAGAATTTGAAATGAATTTGTTTTTAATGCCTCAGAATAAAGTTCTGATGATCCTCTTAAACAAAACAATAGTGTTTGTAACGAGTCACATAATTCTACTGACGTTGTTGATTTTTCTATTATTGATAATAATATAGAAATTCCGCCGCACTTACAAATACATTCAACAAATGGTGAAGGTGATGTTGGACAAACTCTTCCTTCTATTTCTAAATCTGTCCTTGATGTATCATTGATAAGATCGTTCATAACATAAATTAAATCTTGTCTATTAACTTGAATAAAAGGAACACTTCCAAAACCTCTTAAACTTCTTGAGTCATCATAACAATATGCACAATATCTCCCCTTGTACTGTGGCCCTAATTGATACATTGCCTTAATTTCACTTTTTGTTTTTAGTCCATTGATAATCATCCACTCTCCAATCCTAAATACCCCTGGAGAAACAACACTACCACAATGCCCTAAACATATAGAACAACTACCTTGTAATATGTCCATATTTTGAATAATTTTTCCAACTTTCTTTGCATTAATATATACAGTAGATATCTCATCACAGCAAAGAGCAAAATGAAACCACACTCCAATAGGTATTTTTACAGATATACAATTAATAGTATTACAACTAATATCTAATGTTCCATTCTTAACAAAGAATGTCAATACTCCATAATTTGCCATTGTTTTAATTTCTAGAATTTTATAAAACCCATGGTCAAGTCGTAACCATCCAGTAAGTACCATTGGAAATGCATCTAACCAAACATAATTCTTTATGTATGCAACTTTATCTGATGTGTCAAATGTTAATCCACCAATAGTAGGACCTGTTGAAATAAAACTAAGAAGAGAAATTAACTTTGAGTTATTTGTTTCTTGTTTCAACTTGTGTAAAAGATACTTACAGTCATTAGTTTTTATTGAGTATTGACCAATCTTTTGTATTAGTTCAGTTAATATCCCTCCATCTAATGCATCTTCAAATCCAGTCAATAATAAATTGAGAATGTCATAAACATATGTTCCATATAATGAGTATGTATTATTTAGTGCATTTAATAGATTACTAAATAAACAATTTCTTTGTTTTTTATCAAGTAACTTCATTCCATTTAATAAACTTGGAAGTAAATAACAATTGATAATACTAACTCCAATGTGCCTTTCTGTTAGTAGCAGTAATGATTTATTTACTGGTTGTTCTATAATAAGAGAGAGAATCATAACAATGATATTAGATAAATCAAATTCTTTCCATGGATTATAAATGATAAAATTATCAATAAACTCGTTTGAAATAGATGCTTTTAATCTTTCTCTGTTTGCTGAACATTCTCTCATACCAATAATGTATGAATCAATACATGATTGTAATATAAGTAAACGATGATAGATAAGAGAAGAATTTTTATGATCTTCATTAATTTTATTATACTTCCATTTTAAAATAAAAGAAGTAAATAATTCAAAATTATGTGATAGTCCATATATTTCTCTTGCCATGATTGATTGATCCATAATTTCAATTGAAAATTTTAATCGACTTAGTGGGTCATTATCAATAATAATATTTTGAAATAAAAAACTTAGAATTAAACTGATTTGATCAGAAGGAATTAATGGTATTATTTCTTTTATTATTAAGGTAATAACTCCTCTGAAATGAGACTTTTCATTAAATACATTAATAAGACATTCTATTGTATCGTTTTCGTTTATTAATGTTATAGAATTTTTTTTATTACCTGCTAATAAAACACAAATAACTTTTACTAAACCATTAATAATTTCATTTTCTTCATAATATTGGTTAAAAGACTCAAAAAGAACTTGAAAAAATAATGGAATAAATACAGACAATACATTTTGAAATGTAGATCTATTTGATCCAACTAAATAAGTAATAAAATTGACTAATGGAATTAATAAAGAGGTATTAGATATTGTATTAAAATTAATTAATGGTTTTAATAATTCAAGATAATTTGAAGGATTTGCTTGTAAAGTTATAAAAAGAAATTCTAACATTTGAAAAACATATTCTATTTCTTCTTTATTAAAAGAAGTAATCATTAAACAAATAGATTCCATATAAGCAGGTAAAAATGTATAATTTTGTGAATTACTAAAAAGAACAATTTTTAATGATTGTAAAACTGAAAGAACTAATGGTGGACAATCAAGTAAACGCATTAAAACTGAAGGTAATTCTACATTCCGAATTGGGTTAAGTACTTTACTTTTTTTGATTTTTTGAAATTGATAAGATTCTATTCCATTTCCAAAGAAACATAAATGTTGTAATGATGCAATGATAGAATTAACATACCTATTTTCATTATTCATTAATTCATTTGTACATGTTAATAATATTTTTACTAATTTATTGAAAAATAATGAATGAATGTGAATATTTAATATTTTAGAATCATTTTTACAAGTTAGACATAAAAATTGAAGATATGTTTCAATGATTATTAGTATATCTTTATTTAATATAATATTATTCATCGATTGAATAGTTGATTCTAATGCTTTTTGCATAGTCTCATTTAAACATATTTTATTTATTATTTTAGAATTTAAATTTTTTAGTAAAGACATAAATAATAAAAGAATTACTTTCGTTTCTTCAACACAATCAAATCTAACTCGAATAACTTGAATTGGAATAAATGGAATTTCAATAAAAGGAAAAACAATAATTCCGATATCAATAAGTTGATTTAATAATACTATTCTTTTTGAAGAATTAAGAGCAATTAATCTATCAATCATTTCTCCAAAAGAATTAATAAACTCTGACTTCTGAAAATGAAACAACGCCAACGCCAAATATTCTTTTGAAATAAAAGAGATGCATTGTAGTAAAATGTTATAATATTCATCATCATTTCCTTTAGGATAGTTAAATTCTTTAATTAAACTTTCAATAAATATTGGAATCATTTGTTTATTATCTCCTAACTTCATAACTCCTTTAATAATATTATCTCTTTCTTTATTTTTATTTAGTAATTGGACATAATAGTCCTTAAGTATATTCATTTTTTTGTTTATTCAGAAGAAAAAAATTAATTTTTTAAGTTTTTTATATTTTTTTAGAAAAATTATAATTTATGATAAATTTTATTAAAAAATTAAATTTAGTTTTCTTTTTTGTTCAAAGCTTCAACTGGTTTATTCTCATTCTTTTTGCCAAGAACTTTCTTTCTTTGGCTTAACATGTAAGTATATAACATGTAAAGACCTGGAATATAATAAAGGATAAGTGCCCAGATTATATATGATACTGGGAATAAACCAAATACAGTAACAGTTCTGAAATATGGAAGTGATTTAAAAAGCGTAATAACTTCACCTGAAACACCCATTGGGTATAACACAATGAAGAATGAATATCTACACCATAATAATGGGTATGGAACAGGTAATCCAAATAACTTGAATGAGTAGAATGAATATCTAATCACTTCAGTGACAGACCAAGCACATCCTAAAAGAAGGAATCCAAGAGCACGACTCTCTGGAATATATTCAAGAACAGCAACTAATACTACTCTTGAGAAAACTTGTGTAATTGTTGTTCCAAGTGGACTTGGAACAAGACCAGTAATAGCATGGAAAATTTCAAGAATAGCACCATACTGGAAGATCATTAAAGCAATTCTTACATGTGGGTACATCAATGGTGCATCAAAACCAGTTTCTAATGCTTTAAGGAAATAAGTAATAAGGATGAATGTCCATCCAACTACCATTGAAAGATTATATACTTTTAAATATACCTTCTTTGCGTCCATTGAGGGTAAATACTAAGTTCAAAATTTTTTTAGTTTTATTTTTTAATATATAAGAGAATACTTTTTCTTTTTGGTTTCAATGTTTATTTATTAATTTAAATTCTGTTTTGTTATACTTCTTAATAGTGTTGTTTATTCCAATTTTGTATTAGACCTTAACCAATGAGTAGTAGAAGTTCAATTTTAAACATATTTAAGGCTTTTTTATTTATGTTTCGTTATAAAACCGTAGCAAAAACATTTTTATCTGAAGAATTTGATATTGAGAAACCCTTTTTCCTTTTACTTGAAAAACCTAAAATGAGAATTATTGATGATTTGCAACACAGAACATCAACAACATGTTAATATGTTTTTAAGAGAGGTACAACATGCTAATAATAATGAATTAAAACAAAAAGTAATTTTATTTGAAACAGAAATAATTCAATATAATGACCTTTTGCAATGTCTATTAAATGCCCTACAAATCAATGACCTTCAACTTTCAGCTTGTATTCATTTAAGAAAATATGTAAATAGAACAGGAAATATTATTCCTCAATTATGTACTGAGTCATTAAAACTTTCATTTGAAGGAGGTTGTAATGCTTCATTTGCGCGTTCATTATTAGCAGATTGTTATAAAAAAGGAAATATTCAAGTCAAAAATTTTATTGTTCGAACTATTAAACAAGCATTAGAAAATCAATTTTCAATAAATATTATTGAAACTGCTCGGTTTGTTATTGAAGAAGATACCTCAACAACAGAAGGAGGGTGTAGTGATTTTTTTCCTATTATAATTAAAATATTTCAGAATACTCATGACAATGAAATTATTCAATCAATATTACAGTTCTTATTAGTAGGGTCTTCTACTCATCCTGACTTCTTTAGTGATTATGGAAATCAATTGGTTATTCCTTTATTACAACTTTCCTATTCTCTTAATACTAATATTAAACAAAATTATGCACTTCTTCTATCATCCTTTCTTACTGCTGAACCTGATCATCTCTCTCAACACATTGATGAACTTATTAAATGTTGTTCATTATTTCTTAAAGACTCAAGTGAAGAAGTGTGTTCTGCTGCAAACTCACTTCTTGCATCATTATCACATGCATTTAAATCACAATTACAATCTTATTTGACATCATTTACTACAATTATTTTAAACCGAATTGATAGTCTTGTTAATATTTATGATAATGTTATTGAAGATGAACCACCTTTACTTCATACTTTAGCTTCAACTCTTGATGAAATATCTGCAGAATATCATGACGAATTCATAGCTCTTGTAGTTAATATATCTAAATCACTTTCATGGCCAACAATATTATATGTTGTTGGAAGTATTGTTAAAGGATGGTTACAAAAAGAATTATTTTGTGATGTTTTTGGATGGGTTGTTCAAAAGATTTTTATTGAATTAAAAACTGGACAACCATCTTCACTTTCATTATGGGCATTACAAGAAATGTATATCTTTCTTCCAGTGATGTTGAGTAGTAATAATTATGAAGAATTAATTATCTATTTATTAAAAGGAAATGTTCAAACATATTCAATTTTATTAGTTGAAACAATGATAGATGACTCTAAGAATGGAATTGTTTTACAGTACATAAATCAAATATTAAATTGGGTTATTAATAATTTAAGTATTGATAATTCAGGTGAAATTAGTGTATTATTAGTTGAAACTATTACTGCATTAATTGACAGATCTCCAGATCTCTTTTATGGAAACAAACAATTGTTTATTGTTATTACTCGTACTTTTTTAAATTTAATTCATAGAAATAAAGTTATTTCAGATAGAGTAATACAAAACCTTAGTTATATAATTCCTAAATTTGGTTCAATGGCTCTTACTGGTTCAGAACTTCAATTAGTAACTGTTGTTATTGATATGATTCATAGTGATGATACTAGAGACCAAGCCGCTGCTTTACAGTTATTAACTTCGTTAATAGAAACAACTGGCCAACCGGTAGAATTAATTAGAACAATGCAAAATGTAGCTGGTGTAGTATTATGTGGTTTGAGATCAGTAGATGAAGAAGTAGTAGATCAAGCATTTACTTTACTTGGTGACATATTACAGAAAGATCCAATGACATTAGCAACTTCATATCAACCTGTAGTAGAACAAGTATTAACTAAAATGCAAACAGGGAATTTATCCATTAGACTGTGGGCAGTTGGGATTTTAATTAAATCATCACCTAATGGAATTGAAAATTTGTTTGCTCCATTTGTTAATGTTCTAATTCGCTTAATAGAAATAGCCACATCAGCATCAACAAAATCAAAACCTTTTTTAAAAAGAAATCTTTGTGTTTGTCTTGGTAGAATTGCTTTAAGAAAACCTGAATTAATAATTCCTCATATTACCTTAATTTGTGATGAACTTATTGATTCATTACTTGAAGTAGGAGATAATGAAGCACGTGTTGTTGCAGTAGAAGGATTTGGTCGTATTATTGCTAATCAGCCTTTATCTTGTAAAAGTGCTTTATTGTCTGTTGTTAATGTATTATTAGCTGAAAGACAAATTACGCCTTCAATGACGTCATTCTGTAATTCTGTGTTACAGGTATTGAAGAATACATATAATGGAGATGCATATCTTATGATATGGAATAGTGTAGTATAATTCTTTCAATACAGATAATATTTTCATTATTCATTTGTCTTATTCTCTTATTTTTCTTTTTAATTCAATCATTAAAGAGAAGAATAAATAGTAAATAAATTATAATAATATAGCACTTAACAGTGATGCATTAGTTTGATCAATAAAAGGAAAACGTTCTTTCATCAGCTCGTATTCAATTTCAGGATTTTCATGCTTAATCATATTAAAACAGTCTTCATCTAAAATACATCCCATATCAATATCCCGATATTCATTGTTTAAACGTTTAAGAAATGAATTCGAATACACTAGTTTATTCATGTTTTAATGAGCGAATATTCAAGTTGTATCCTTCGTTTTTATTATCTGAACAATGAAATCACTTTATTATTCTCTTTGTCTCTTGCTTTATCTTTTCTTTTTTAAATGACAAAGGAAGAATAATTTTCTATTTTCTTTATTCTATCTTTAGGAATATAAAAATATGATAAATGGACATGTGGGTCCACATGAAAACACGTAATCATTAATTGAACTTCAAAAAGAAAGAAAAATTTCTTTGATTACTGAAGAAAAGACATGTCACAGTTAGATAATGATTCAATCTACCATTTAGTCAAATACTTAGATAACGAAAAAGAAGCGTTCATAGTTAAGAGTATAAATAAAAAATACAAAAGCGTTTATAATAAATTTGAATACAACCCATTTTCAGTAAGTTCAACAGATTTATTTCCAGGAATGAAAAGACAGTGTCTGTACAATAAAAAGGATAACCGAATAGAAGGAATGAGTCAGTACATTTATTGTTATGTAGTTGGATATAAGGTTGTTTCTCAATCAAAAGAAAGTAATGTGGTTTTTAAAAAAGTACGATTAGGGAAGCATGACCATGACAAAATGCCAATAAATTATATTCCTCCTAATATTCAAGAATTAGGTAAGAGTTGTTATTATTATGCAGCTAATACAGAAATTAATTTACCAACTACAATAACAAAAATTGGATATGATTGTTTTTATTATAACTTATTCAAATCAATTGATTTAAGTCATGTGCTACAACTTGACGTTGGGGCGTTTAATATTTGTAACGAGTTAAGTGCTGTGACTTTGTCTTGTTATTTAAAAAATATTCCTTCTTATTGTTTCGAAAGTTGTAAAAGTTTGTTAGAAATGGATCTTAGACACATTGAACAAATTGGTGATTGTGCTTTCAATGAATGTACCTCGTTATCTTCTATTACTATTTCAACAAATCTCAAAGATGTTTCTTATTCAGCATTCAAAAAATGTTTTTCATTAAAACATATAGATGGATGTGGAATGAAAATATTTCACCCACCAATATCATCATTATTTTTTGATGTACTACAAAAGAATAGAATCCGTTGTGATGGAGAGATTCATTATATCCGAGAAGACAAAAGTTATTTTAACAGTTTAATTCCTTTAGGTGTTAACATAATAGAACAAAGTGTTTTTTTAAATGATTGTATTACGTCAGTGTCAATTCCATCTAGTGTTCATATGTTATCAGAACATAGTTTTGACTCATGCCGTCATTTAAAAGAAGTTACTTTACCAAGTAATCTAACATCATTACCAACATGTTGTTTTAACAAATGTTTTGCTTTAGAAAAAATCAATTTAGAAAATTTAATTTCTGTAGGAAGAAATTGTTTCAACTGTTGTAAACAGATAAAAGAAATTCATTTAGATTTAGCAACAGATCTTAAACATGGATGTTTTGATAGATGTGAGCAATTATCAAAAGTTATACTGAACAGTTGTATTGAACGATTCCCAAAAGAATGTTTTTCTGGAAGTAGAGGATTAAAAGAAATTACAATGAAAAATATTAAAATAATTGAAGAGTCTAGTTTTATGGGATGTTCTGAATTAGAAACTATTGATATTAGTCGCTGTACTTCAATGGGAAAATCTTGTTTTATGAATTGTACGAAATTAACATCAATTCAATTTAATTCTCAATTAGTAGGACTTGAAGAATCATTTTTTGAAAATTGTGGATTTATTCAAGTAAGTTTACCATCAACTCTACGTTCATTGAATAACAACGTTTTCAAAAATTGTACATCTTTGAAGTCAATTGATATTCAGATGGTTACACAGTTAGGAAATAATTGTTTTGAAAACTGTTCTTCATTGAGTTATATAAAACTGTCTAATGAATTAAAGATACTTCCAGTCCAATGCTTTAAAAACTGTTCACAACTAAAAGATATTCAACTCCCAAGTTTATTAGAAGTACTTCAAGATGATTGCTTTGATAAATGCACTTCATTAACAAGTATTATTATCCCTTCATACTAA